TTTTGCTGCCCCGTGCACAAGTCTCATAAACTGGGTACTAGAACCACAAAAGTGTGCTTACAGCTCTGAAGGTCAAAGTCTGAATCCAGGCTGAAGGGCAGGGCTGGGTTCTTACCCAAGGCTCTGGGGCAGGGCTCTTTCTTGTCTCTCCAAGCTTTCGTTGGCCCCATGTGTCCTTGGTTCCTGACACCAATGTTCCAATCATTGCCTCCTTTTCCACATGGCCATCTTCCCTCTGTCTGTCTGTCCCTGTGTCTGGTCTCCTTTTCCTATGAAGTAGTAACACCTGTGTGATTGACTCAGGACGCAGCCTAGTGCAGTATGAGCATATGTTAACTAATTACAGCTTCAAAGATCCTTTTTTTCAATCAAGCTCATGCTCATAGGTTCTGGGAGTTAGAGCTTCAACATGTCTTTTTGGAGTGTTGTCAGGTGCCATCGAGTCGGTACCGACCTTATGCACAACAGAATACAACACTGCCCAGTGCTGGGCCAATCTCACAATTGTTGCCATGCTTGAGTCCATTGAAGCTGCCACATACACAAATCAACTTACAACACCCAGTAAAGAGGTTTGTATGGGACTTGGCACTTTAATAGACTTTACATGGTAAATAGAGCCGTGGTGTGGCATTGTAGGGTAAGCACTGGACTGCAAGCTGCGAGGTCAATGGTTCAAACCCACCAGATGCTGCTCGGAAACCCTATACAGGGTCACTGTGAGCCGAAACCAATTCAATGACACTTAACAAGAACAACATGGTAAATGGCTCTCTGGTGTGTCAGTACCTGAGCTCCCCAAGCCCCTTACACAGACGTAAAGTCCTGTGTCCCCATCATGTGAGGGACCCAGAGACCAGCTGTGCAGCCGTGCTCTGGTGCTAAGCACCCCGGGCACTGTGGCGCTCCAGCAGTTTTGCTGCCACACTAGAGAAACGGAGTCAGCGCCACCTTCCCAGTTGGCAAAATCAATTTTGAGTGTAGTCTGGAGTGTGTCCAGGCTGACCATCCACTCTGCAGGACGTGCCTAAAAAGACAGGTCTAGCAGAATCTATTGTAGCCTTCAGACAAATGCCCCCACCTGAGACCAGAGACCACACGGAGAGCGGAGGTCGTGTCCCCTCAGTCCTCAGGAAAGGGACACTAGTCCTCCCTCGGGTCCCCCAAGTGCAAACCAAGTGAACTTAGGGGCCAGTTCAATCCTCGGGGGCTTCTCAGAGGAGCTCTTTTCTGAACCTGACCATTCTCCTGGGGCTGGTGAACCAGCCCACCCCTCGGTTCTGGTAACTATCCAGCCCTGTGCTCTGCTGTAGCCCCACTGCCTCCTACAGCCCAGTCCCCAGCTTCCCTGAAGTCCCTCTGCCGTCCCTACAGCATCACACACAGGTGACTCAACTGTGGCAGTCACTAAGCATCTTTACAGAGATGCGTGGGTAGTTTCCTCAGGAGACAGAACTCCGGCCCAGGTGGTGTTAAGACTCCATAGCTGACCTTCCCACTGAACAGCCCCAGGTTCAGCCTCAGGACAAGTTCTCTGTCACCAAAGCTTGCCAAGATGTCCCCTCAACTCATCTGTCCCCAACTCGTTTCACTCTTAGGACTAGACTAGGGTCCTTTGTGCTCAAGTGGTGGCGGGGCAATGGCTGTGGGAGGCAGATTCCTCAACCTGAGATCTGGCCTGCCCTGATCTTCTGTCTCTTCTCTCTGGTTCCCGTGCCCACCACCTGTCCAGCTCCATCTGGCTCCTCGTGAAGAACCCCACATTCATCCTGCTCTGCCTGGCTGGGGCCACAGAAGCCACACTCATCGCTGGCATGTCCACATTTGGCCCCAAGTTTCTTGAGTCCCAATTTAGCCTCAGTGCCTCAGAAGCTGCTACCTTATTTGGTGAGAAAACTTTCTGGATCTCGGGAAGGAGGGCAGTGAGGGGTCTTTGAGAATATCTTCTAGAAAGACTCTCAAGGGTTGCTCCAAGTGTGAGTGCAGGCTGGGGTAGTGGTTCGTCCACTTGAAACTTTGTGTTGAGTTCATGCTGCTGCACAATTGTCTCTGAGTCGGAGGCAGGATGGGAGTGGTGGGCTGGTTCTTCTATAAGCACCTGGGGAGCACTAACTGCAGCACATGACCGTTGACCCGTCCCCTGAGTCAGGGTCAGGTGGCGTCCTTACAAGTAGCTTTGATTGGGCACGGAGTAGATGTGTGAGGTTCCAGCTAGCTGGTGTCCCTGCTCACTGAGGTGAGCAGGGTAAGGAGGTTTGGGGTCAGTGCCTGGTCTGAGTTGGGCACCCAGTGGTCAGGTTGGCAGGCTCATTGGCCAGAGCTCCTGGGCCTACTCAATGGCTAGGGTCTGCTTCTCTGTCCTGGAGCTGCAGGGGTGGACACCTCCTCTGATCTCCCTTCTTCCAGCATTCACGGGGTACTCCAGTGTTCTGGGGACCACCTCGGCCTCACCAAAATTACAGCAAGAGGGAGGTACCAGGTATGAGGGTCTGTGCAGGGCACTGTGCATCCACTCACAACCAGACATCACCTTCCATGGCTCTGTTCCCTGGTTGGGAAGAGCACGCTTGATTAGGGACCCCACCCTCCCCTCCTCCAACTAATGGTAACACCCTTCTGAGGCTTCACCAAGCACTTCCCTTCCAGGGTACTTGGTGGTGCCAGCAGGTGGAGGTGGCACCTTCCTGGGTGGCTTCTTGGTGAACAAGCTCAAGCTACGTGGCTTGAACATCATCAAATTCTGCCTGCTCTGCACCCTGATCAGCCTGTTGGCCACCTTCATCTTCATCCTGCATTGCCCCAACGTGCCCATGGCAGGAGTGACCGCCACCTACAATGGGAGGTAAGGGCAGGTGGGGCCTGGCTGGAGGAGAGACTCCCAATTAGGGACAATGACATAGAGATACATGTGTGTGAAGACAGATCTGTGTGGAGGCACACCTGTGTAAAGATAAGCCTGTGTGGGACTCACCTATGTGATGGCTCATCTTGTGGGGGCTCACCTGTGTGTGGGTTCACCTGTATGAAGGAACACCTGTGTAGGGGCTTACCTATATGAAGACACACCTGTGGGGAGGGTGTTCACCTATGTGGAGGCACACCTGTGTGGAGACTCACCTGTGTAGAGGCACACCTGAGGCGAGCTGGCGAGACAGAGCATTGTGCCCATTTCACTGATTAAGGCTCATTTGTAAAATGGCACTGGGCCAGCTTCAAAGACACCTGGGCTCAGATCGCAGCTCTGCTCTTCTGTGGCCTTGCTCTCCTCATCTGTGCAGAAAATGACAACCTCCACTTTCCAGGGTCCTTGATGCTTGTCTCCATGTATTGCCGAGGGGTGAGGGGCGGTATGGCACCTCTAAATTACACACACACTTCCTCCCAGGAACTTGCCACCTAGGTGCACGTGTGCAGTGCAAGAGGGCAGAGGGACAGAGTCCCTGTCATGTGTCTAAAGTAGCCAGAACCTGGAAACAACCTAAAAGTTGCTCAGGTGGGGCCTGGTGAAACCACAGTGTGTCCCCACAATGGGGCACTGAGCCGGCTTTCAAAGGAAAAGGAAGCTCTGTCTGGGCTGTCGCCAAGGCACGCTTATCAAGCAGGAAAAGGGAGTGGAGCAGATTGTAGGGTGTGTTCTGGTTTGAATTTTTGAGAAGAGAGAGGAGGGTGTGTGTATGTGTACATGTCCACGCGTGCATGAGTGGACACGTGTGTGCACATCCGTGTGTAGCTACATGTGTACATGTTGTGTGCATGTGTGTTTGCTGCACACATGTGAACCATCCCTGAGGTGGGTACCGGCAGTCTTGGCTGAGAATAGAGCCCGGGCCGAGGGTGGGAGGTGTGTCTGCGCTCTGACCCGGGTTTTGAATGTTGAGCTCCATGCTCAGTGAGCAGGCTCAGGGTCCAGGGTGTTGACCTTGCAGGGGTCTGCTTGTGGTAAGTCCGGGCCCTTCCCACACCCCTCCCCTCCCCCTGCAGCTCCCTGCTCCAGGGCCACTTAGAGCTGACGGCTGCCTGCAATGCAGACTGCTTTTGTAGCACCGAACACTACAACCCAGTGTGTGACCCCAACGGCACCATGTACTACTCACCCTGCCACGCCGGGTGCCTGGAGATGGTCACAGATCCAGATGGCCGGAAGGTGAGTGTGGCCACTGCCTGTGACCCGCTGTCCCACCTCGGCACTGGGGAGGGCCCTGTGGCCTTCCTCCTGTAATCAGCCTGTTGTTGGGCTCCCCAGGTATACGGAAACTGTAGCTGTGTCTCTGAGAATATTTCCACCGCAGGGAAATGCCCCTCAACCTGCCAGAGAAAGCCCCTCCTTCTGATTTTCGTATTCGTTGTAATCATTTTTACATTCCTGAGCAGTATTCCTGCGCTAACAGCAACCTTACGGTAAGAAACGGGGCCTGGGCTCTCATCCAGAATCTTCTCTTGGAACCTACTAGGTTTGAACTCTGCAGATGCTGTGGCCTGGCCAGAGGGCCTGCTGGAAGTCGCTGGGGCCTGTGGTGGTGGGCCTGCCATGGACACGCAGGACCCTGTGTCAGGGAATGGACCCGAGTCTGTGCTAGGGGCTGCTGGAACTCGATGGGCCCTGTCCTGCCACAGAACGCGCCCGTCCCTGTGCTGGGAAACGTGCCCATGAGGCTGCTACGGAACATGCAGACCTGTGCCCGAGGCCCTGTGTACGGGCAGCACACAGCTGGCTGCCCTAGTAGTGTCCGAGCTGACCACTGGGAAGACGGGAGGCAGCTGTGATGGGGCCAGGCTCTGCCTCGGGTGAGACGAGACCTTCCATGGCCGGAGCCAACACTGTGTCTTGTGTTACAGGTGTGTGCATGACGGGCAGAGGTCCTTTGCACTGGGAATCCAATGGATTGTCGTTAGGACACTAGGTACGATGCAACTGAGAGGGTCTGGAGTGGGGGAGTGTGTGGTGGGGTCCACTCAGTGAGCCAGCCACAGCCCCCTGATTGTCCACTAGAAGTGGTGGTGGTGGTTATGCACTGTGGAGTTAGTTCCGAGTCAGTTCCGACTCATAGCGACCCTGTACAGGGTTTCTGAGGCTGTAAATCTTTATGGGAGCAGAAAGCCTCATTTCTCTCCCGTGGAACAGCTGGTAGTTTCGAACTGCTGACCTTGAGGTTCGCAGCGCAATTCGTAACCACTACGCTACCAGAGCTGCTTGTCCACTAGAAGTGGCCTTCCACATTTCATTTGCTCAAGTTGAAAAGAACAAGTCAACACAGACTCACGAGCGTGTGTGTCAGAGTAGGGCTGCCCCAGAGGTGTTTCAACGACGGGCTTTTCAGAAGTGCCAGAACTTTCTTCCAAGGTGCCTCTGGCTGGCCTTGAACCCGTCATTTTTCATGTAGCAACCGAACATGTGACGTTTGTGCACCCACTTCGAGGGCTCACTCTCCTCCTTAATATAAAGGCTCCACACGAGGTGGAGACCATCAGGGAATTCCGAACCTAGGATGCCAAGTCCCAGAGAAGGGAGAGTTACAGTCCATGAAAAGTACCCTGGTGGCACATGGGGCTAAGCGCTCCACTGTGATCCAAAAGACCAGAGATTTGAACCCACAAGTGGCTCCTCGGGGTACAGATTTCAGCCTACTGTGTCACACAGGGTCAGTATGAGTGATGTCCCCAGTGCAGCCCTCCCCAGGAGCCTGCTGGCTCAGCCCTGAGCCCCTCTTTCCACAGGGAGCATCCCCGGTCCCATCGTCTTTGGCTGGGTGATAGACAAGGCATGTCTGCTCTGGCAGGACCAGTGTGGTGCCCAGGGTTCCTGCTTCATGTACCAGAATCAGACCATGAGCAAGTACATGCTCATCACGGGGCTCCTGTACAAGGTGAGTCTGACAGGTCTCCTCCCTGACCGCCCTAACCTACACTGTCACACACACTCACCATGATGCAGGGACATAGAGGGGACAGAGGGAGGAGGGAGGCCCCGGTCATGGAGAGAGAGGTCACAGGGGACACCTTGGGGTTCCCCACTGTCTGCCTCCAAGGAGCCACTCCATCGTGACCTCACTTGTCCCCTGCTTAGCTAAGGGGCAGACTCATCCTGGAGGTCAGCCGTGCTCTGCTCAGCCTTGGGCTTTTCTAGCAGCGGCCAGCCTGGCTCCTTACCTGCTGAGCGCTGGGGCCTGCTCCCTCGAGTGCCCGATGTCAGGGGCATTTGCATTTTGATTTTCTCCCTTGGAGAAGGCTTAGATTTTAAAAAACCAAAGGACCAGCAGTCAAGACCCGGGGTACCATTGCAGAGTTGGGAGGGACACACAGGACGCTGGGCTTGTGGGCTCTGAGCCACAGAACAAATCAGGGCCTCAGGGAGTCCAGCAGCTGCATGTAGTATATCCCCAGAGATTAGCCTCAGGCCAGCCAGGGGCAGAAGGGGCCTGGATAGCCCTGGAGGAGAAGCCCCAGACCCCTGCTATCCAGTGGATTCTGGGTCACAGCAGAGGGCTGCATCTTTCTCCTGCTGAGCAGCTGGTGTTGGAGTGGGCGGGGTCAAAGCTGCCAAGGACTGTAGCCACCAGGAATCTTGTCCCTGGAGAAGAGCAGCCGGTGGGTTTTTGACATCTGTTCCCAGCCGTGGGTCCTGGGTTTTCTCTTGGCTGCGTTTTGTGACGTGTCCCAGGCGTGGCCCCATCTAGCTGGTGAGCCAGAGAGAGGTCACAGTGTCCCCTGGGTGTAGGAAGGAACCAAGGGAAACTGAGGGGACCACTGGGGACAGGGTTCAATCAAGGGCCAGTTGGAGCTGCTGCCTGACCAGCTCTGCCGAGTCTCCTAGGGTGGACATAACAAAGAACCACAGGACCACACCCACAAGTCTGAAACCAGGGTGTCGGCAGGGCCCAGATCCCACCAAAGGCAGGCTGGTCTCCTCTGGAGGCTGTGACCGAGAGACTGCCCCGTCTCCCTCACAGCGTTCCTTGGTGTGTAGCTGTGCCCCTGTGCTTACAGCCTCACCCCTGCCTCTCTGTTCGTGAGCCCCCACCCCCACTTGTAAATGCACATCCTGGACCAGGATGATCCCCTCATCTAGAGATCTTTAGCTTACTTACATCTGTAAAGACCCTCTTTGTAAATCACACCACAAGGTCAGATTCCAGACTTAAGGCTCAGAGATCTCTTTGTGGGCACAGCCCAGCCCTCCACATGCTCCTTCCACCTGGACCTTAGCTCTGTCTGCAATTGGGTGGGCTTCTGTGCCCTCCTTGGCAAAATCTGCCTTCTCCCTAGAACTGGGTGTGCAGAAAGACCTGTTTCCTCTGATAAGGAAGTCATGGGCTCTGGGCCCTGTAAGACCCCTGGATGGGAAGTCATCCTGTGAGACCCTGGGGAGTGTACTGTCTGGATGAGACCCAGGCCCAGCGGCTCCCCCTCTCCTTCCCCAGGTGCTGGGATTCCTCTTCTTCTTGACAGCCTACTGCTTATACAAGCCCCTGTCGGGGGAGTCTTCAGATGGCCTGGAATCTTCTCTGCCCAGCCAGTCCTCAGCCACCAACAACCCCACAGACCTCCAAGAGAGCTCCTCTGCCCTCCAGCACCAGAGCACAGTATGATCACCCACCTCTGGACCCCGGCCCGGGCACGAGATCTGGTACCTGTGTGCCTCAGTGGATTCTTCTCAAAGGGCTGACCCCTCCCCACTCCCCAGCACTGGAGACACTGAAACCTTGCACTGGAATCAGGGCTGTGGGGCTATCAAGGTTGGGATTCGTGTGTCTAAACCATGAAGACACTGAAGGGAAGTAAACGAGGCCCACCCAAGGGTCTTCTGGACATGGCCCTGCCCGGCCACTCTGCCCTCTGCTCCTTTGTCCTTCCAGTTCCACTCACCAAGGCTTGTCCCGGAGGACTTGCCCAGTGGTGTACGGGGGTAGGGGTGGGCACCCAGATATATCCATGCAGTGCATTCAACACCTGCACAATCTTCCCAAGTGCCAGCATCGGCCGTAAAGGCTCAGCACTCTCCACAGACTCATAGGGGACACACTGACTTCCTTTCTAGAAGCTTCAGTCCGTAGGGATTGAGGGAATGGTTGTGGAGGAAGAGCCCTGGTTGGCTCCTGGAACAGGGGCGTGGCCTTTTATTTACTGTGAAAGCCTGAATGGGCAGAATGACCTCCCTCCTTCCGACCATGGCACAGCCATGACGCCACCTGGCCACCCACCCGAAGGCCTTTTGAAGGTCTGGTTCGTCTGCCCTATGGGACGGGCACAGCCCACCAGAACCGTCCACTTGATGTGGACAGTCTGCCGGCACCCCCTCTGATTGATGCAGTGGGGCAGCTGTGCAGATGTGTATTTATGAATTCCTGTTTTGCATTAAACAATATTTAAAACACGTGCTTCTATCCTTGGCGGCTTCTTGAGGGAGGAGGGGAAGGTGTGCTTCCGACACGTCCAGGGTCAGGCCTGGAATGCCAAAGGGCCACGGGGATCTCTCCATGGAACATGCATCCTGACAGTCCTCAATGCACATATACACATATGAACATATTTTCATATTTAATTAAGCTCGTGTCCTTGGGCAGTGGCCCACGTTTCTGTAGATCTGCACAGGTGGATTCATGCGTCCTTTGTTTCCAAAGGGGGAGGGGGGACCCTGGGGCTGAGTGCTCTCTTGACCCCACAGTACACCCTGGGCCCTCACTCCCTTCAGTGACCCCTTCATGTCCTATAACCACAAGGACCTCAGTTCTCCATCCTGGACCTACACTTCTGTCACTTGGGAACAACCACCATCTTTGGGGCCCTTGGACCGTGGACGGGGTGTTAGCACTGTGTTAGCACAAAGGAGTGTGTGTGTGTGTGCACACATGTACACACAAGTATGCGAGTACACATGTATACACATGTGTGCACATGTGTTCATTATGTATGCATGCTTGTGACGTGTAGCATCGTATGGGCATGTGCAAGCACTGTGAGAACATGTGTATACTCTGTGAATGCATATGGCATGGAGATGCATGTGCACTGTAAGTACACGGCTACAATGTATGCATGTGTGTGTCCTGTACATGCATGTGTATGGACATGTGTAAGCACTGTGAGAACATGTGGATGGTGTGTGAATGCGGGTATATGTGTGCACACATATGTGAGTGGTGTGTGCGTGGGTGTATGCATGTGGCATGGGGTGTATACGTGTGTACATGTGTGCACTGTGTGCATGCATGTGGCATGGGGTTATGTGTGTGTTCATGTGTACACTGTGCATGCATGTGGCATGGAGTGCACCTGTGTGCACACATTGTGTTCATGCATGTGGCATGGGTATATGCATGCTTACATGTTGTGTGCACTGTGGGCACCTGTGTGCATGCATGCGGCATGTGCGTGCACAAAACTGACTGAAGGGAGACTGCATGGACCATCTCCCTCAAATCGGTATCTGAAGAGGCTGTGTCCTTAGGAGGCATGAAGTTCCCATGGGACCCAAGACCTGGGGTGTGGCTCCTGAAGGCGTGTTCACACAAAGCTCAGAGGTTGAGTGGGCAGTTTCTGAGGTTGTTCCTGGGAGTCATTGGCCCTCACGTCCTGATGGCTGTGAGTCCCAGTATGACAAGGTAGAGATTTGGGCACCAAGGAAATAATAGTATAAGGCTGACACTTGGTCCTTGTGTGGGGTCAGGAGGTGGGTACTGTGGCTTAGTGTCCATGACCTAGGGACAGTGAGTGTCCTGGAGAAAAGATAAGCAAGGAAGCCCAGTTCTCGCTCCTTCCTCTGCCTCTGAGCCCATGTGCCGGGCTGGTGCCGTCCACACCATTGAGAATACACCTAGCAGAACAGACACCAATGCCACCGTTTCTGGACGCATCCCTCGGGAACCCTGATGCCATGCTTGGAGTTTTCTACTCTCCTCACCCCACTCTCCGGGTTGTTCCGACACCGTAAACGTGAATTCACTGCTCTTCCAGGTTCCCAGCTAATTTTTCCGGAGAGGAGCTGAGCTGGTGGAGGAAAATCTCTCAGGAAACCCACCTAAAACCTAAGCCCACCTCACTGCCCCCTGCATACCTGGTGCAGGCTGACCTCATTCCAAACGACCCCCTTTGCCCTCCCAGCCTGGCCAGGCACCTTCCTCAGAACTGTCTAGGTCTACCCATGTCCTGCCGTCCCCAACTCATCCTCTGGAGGCAGACTGGGCACTTTCGGCTCTCAACACTCACATCTGGAAGCAACCCGATCCTCTACTGTGCTGATGGTGTACTCAATGTGGCAGCCTCCTTGCAGTGGGTAAGGTTGACCAGTGGCTGCCCCTCCAGGGTGGGCTTCTCATCAGTCCCTTCCCCAAGCCAGGCTGACCCACTCCTGGCTGTCACCAGGACAGCTGCAAGGCCACCATCCCTCTTAGGCCTCTCTAATGGTCTGCAGGGGCTGGGGGACTGGAAGAGGGGATGAGCCCCAGACGTGAACTTGGTCTCAGCTGACTCCAGCGTGGGGCCTGCGTTTTCATCTCTTAGACACCAGGGGGCAGCACACACCATCCTTGCCGTATCATCTCTGATGCCCACATTTCCAGACTAGTGTCTTTCCCTAGAAGCCAGCCTGCAAGGGGACTCTTCTTCCCACTCCGGGAGGCGGGGGTGCAGGGGAGGGGGGAGGGAAGGGGTGCCATGAGCATGAAATGGACTTGTCCTCTCTGTCCTGATCTAGTATCCCCTGAGTCGCCCTTGGTGGGGTGGACAAACAGAAGCAGCCCCTGAATGGCCACCAGAGAGCGTCCACTCCCACACTCTCGGCTTCCTTTGCTTGCTTGGTCCAAGTTAGTGTTTCTTCCTTAAAACTCACTCCTTTTAGGGGAACCCTGAGACGAGTTTGCATGGACTAAATGGAACAGAGGTAAATAGTGATGCATGCTCAACCTTGGAACAACAGGGCTCTGTGATACAGGGATCTAGGCACAGTTTGAAGAGGGGAAAGAATACTAAGATGCTTGGCTGTCTTATGAATATTGGTTTCCCTTGTCTACTATTGTAAAATAGACACTAGAGTGGGATAGAAAGGAATGTCAGGAAAGATGTTTACAGAAAACTTGTAAGCCCGTCTTCAGCCTATAACTGATTAGAATACCTAAAAGGGGTTCTAGAACTTTCCCAGGGAAATAGACCTCTTGTGGACCCTTGCAGAGTATAGGACCTTAGGTGGACTCCTGAGTCCCATCCAGAACCTTGTGAGGTGGGACATTCCCACTAGCAGGGACAAGCAAACCAGCCTGGAACAGTTAGAGCAACAGAAGATACATCTTCAAAGAAAGATCATCAGGAAAAACCCAAAACAAAAATGTCAGCATGACTGGCTACTACAAGAATAAGCAAGCTGTTCACCAGGAAGCCATCTAAGCAAGCAATCAAGTTCCTTCAGGACAAAGTCCCCTCTAAGATTGAAACTCAAAGGGAACACATGAATAGGCATGTATGCTTGCTGGCGACCACATTGGTGTATTGGTGAGTGGACGAGGGAGAAAGGTAGCAATGAAGAAATGGGCTGAGTTCAACCACAGTCCATTGACTCCCATTGACCTGGAGATGAGAGAGAGAAGAGGAAGGGCTGGTTGGTCCAAAGTGTGGTGAGACCTGGGGACTCCTGAGCCCATGGACAACAACATAGCCACAGAGGGCTAGAGCTGAGAGTGAAGCATCCAGCTGATATGAAGTGAGGGGAGATGCACAAGAACACCCAAATTTGCATACAGTACCCATGTGACCTAGCCTCGATGGCTCAATAATCAGAACTCCACTAGAGAAGGGTTAAAAAAAAAAAAAAAAAGGAATAAAAAGAACAAAACAATTTTTGATAAAGGAAACAAGGGTAAATTGCTACAATTAGATGAACTTGACCTAGACTCATGGAGGTAGTAACTCTAAATACCAACAGAGAGGGAAGGAGTCTTCACTTCAAGTATCAATGCTATCCTATCTGTACACAGGGTAGATAGGAATGGGCAATTTAGACATTGGCTACCTAAAATGAGGAGGTGTTAAAGGCATGAAGTGACTGGCTTACAAGTTTCAAGAGGGAGTTTAGTTTAAGAGTGTTGGGGGAAAGAAAGAGTTCCCACTGAATAGCTGTCATCTTGTCTAGATGGGTCTGGTGAAAAGAGATGGGAATCAGATTTTTATGATTCGATAGTAATTGTTATCATGACTAATTGAAACTGTCACAATTGTAAAGGTAGAAGTTTTGTAACAAAAATGGGGGAGTAGTTAATCTTACAGTCCAGAAACAGAGGACCCTAGGACCATCAAGGGAGAAGAACACAAGCGGAATGCGGGACCTTATCCAGAGAAGCAGCGACACCAGAGATGGAGGCAGGATGGGGACATGGAAAGAGGGGGCAGCTGAGGACTCTAGACTAATGGGAAGAGAGAAAGAGCTGGCAGCCAGGAGTCAGACTTGCAGAATGTGCCCTTTGGTGGAGTAAATTAGTACATATGCCTGAGAGGGTTTGTTTTTGTTTTTGTTTTTTAAAGAGCTAAATAGAGAGAAATACTGTTAACTGATGGTACATGGAGTGGATTATAATAATTATAATGAAACAAGGTG